TGTGCAGTGCGTTTTGGTTGATTTTTCAGCAGAAACTCTAATTTTTTCGACTACATCTTGCAAATTTTGTTGAAATATGAACATATACTGTTCCTTACGCATAATGCGTACTAAAACGACCAACAACATTTTTGAAATACAACCCCAAACTATTATTGACCGACCACTGTGATTCACAGTTTGCCTTACATGATGCGCTTAGGCTTAATTTGGGCCTTTGATCCAATACCATGCCCGGCCATCTGATTGAAAGCGATTAATATAGTCTTGTCAATCCAAAAAACCCTCAATTAAATCTTAAAAATGTGTTTTTATTGCATTCTGTAAGGCCTAACATATCCCATTAGACAACGGTCCGGTTTTCGTGCGATCCGGCAATATGCTACCACTCTCGCACATGTATTTTGATGAAAATTGCTTTTTTCTTCTTTTGTGATCCATTGCGCTCAATTTGGCAATTTTTCGCCTCGCTGTCTACTGATTTGCATTCCATTTTAATACCTTAAGTGCTTCTGTAGTAGTGGCTGCAGTACTACTTGCTACTAAGTTCACAACATATCGGACTGTAATATATTTTGACAGACTTTCTTTGTCCTTGTAACACTTTAGGCTATATTTTTTCTCAGTCTTAACATTTTCATGTGGCAAACTCCGCAATTTTTTGTCACTTTCCCTGAGGTCCCGCCTTTCCGCAGTAAATCTATTATTTACATTTATGTTTCCTGATTAACCATATTATTTATTGGTGATCACTTCTTGAATAAATTACAATATAGAAAAAAGTCATCTGACTTCCAACTAAGCAAAAGATAACTGTGAAATGCAAAACTGAGAGTGAGTGCAAAACTGTAACATTTGCCTTAATTTACATTTTTGTCTCCAGGTTTTTTTATTGTTGTTGGATTGACTTCAAATCGTTATGAGAGCGGGAGTAGGGGTGTACCAATAAGAATATACAACAAAAGTATGAAAGTCGTTAGAACTTTGAAAGATAGCGGTGGCTGAAATAAAAAGTGTTACATCATGTTACAGTTTTGCTCGTCACTGTATGTACCAGCGGTACTGCCCACCGCCGTCGGTGCAATGATTTCGATAGCACAACAAACGCCAACTCCTGGGCATTCCCACAGCTTGCCAACACCAGCTATTATATCACGTGTGAATACATCTGCGGCTAAATTTGGTTATTATCAGTGCAATAGTACCATGTCATTGGCAGAAACACTAAAGGCTGCTGGCACAAATAAATCGCCCAGAGATATAGCCAACGAAATAAGTAAACATGGTATTCAATCGCTATTTGTGGCTTAGAGCGCAGTAAGTCAACGACGTAGCGTAAACGTAGGTTGACGTACGTAGCAGCATATCAAATTTACTGTTGATAGAGAGAGAGAGAAGCAACGGCAATGTGTTTTCCTTAACACGCGAATCCCATAAGGTAGATCGTGTCTACGTCAACGTACGTATACGCTACATCGTTGACTGTTTGAGCTTTTAAACTGAGGTTGGAAGTGCGCGCTTCATTAATGTGTTTCTCAAAAGGTATACAGTTTATGGTTATGTTAGTGCAAATATTTACAACAATATTTATATCAAATTAACAGAGCACCCGGCGTCGTTCGGGGTAAACAAATAAAAATATAAAACAAATATTCAGTTCAGCATAATTTAAAGGAGACAAACTATTTTCTTTGTTTACATCAAGGCATCGTTATGAGCCATACCTTTAGCTTTATCGTGCTTCAACTAATATATATTAATCATCACTTGTGCTTCAGATTTTGTTCCATTATTAATATTAGGTGGATTAAGGTAACGATCAAATTTCTAAATTAAAATTAGTCTACTACGGGACATTCCGTTTAGCTGCCTATTCGATTAGCTGTTTTAGTACAGTTGCACTTTTCTGGTAAAATGCTTAATTCGGAAGGGAGTTTTATTCAGTATGAATGAACACTTTTCGTTTAACAGCATCGCGGGACTAAAAAACGATTTAATCTTTCCATTTCAAAATAATCTAAAGACGGTAAAGTTAAAAAAAAAAAAACAAGTAAGAAAGTCTAAGTTCGGGCGGAGCCGAACATTAAATACCCGGCGCAAGTATTAAATATATGTTTTTTCACCTTTCCGAAAGCTACCGCTAGATGGTAAGCCGGGATGTATCAATTTTGAGTAAATTAGCGTCCTTAAATTTCGAAATATTGCAGTTTCAAGCATTTATGAAATTTACCGTTATATGAAAAGGGGCCGTAATTTTAGTCCGATTTCAATAATTTTCAACGTTTTGCTTTTATGCGGCAAGGACAATAAAAATACCGAGTTTGGTAAAAATTGGTAGAACGGTTACCGATATACATATATGTGATCATAAGTGGGCGGTGCCAAGCCCATTTTCAAAAATTTTGCCATAAACGTATTTCTTGGTAAAGAATTGTTGCAAGCTCAATTTTGAA